TTCATAAAATCACAGAATCATAGTAGGAAGAGCCCTCAGGGGCCACCTAGTCTTACCAGTATCCTACTGTGACATGTCCCCAACATGTGGACATGCAGCCTCCCCTGCGCAGAGGTTCTTAACCTTTTTGTGTATCCTGGATCCCTTCTCAGAATAATGTTTTTAAATACATAGAACAAAATACATAGGAGTACAAAGTGTAATAGGACTTTGGAGCCTGCCCTGATCACCTAAGATGGAGGCACCCCAGCAGTCATTGTGCCAAAAGGAATTTGATTATATTGAATACAGATATCAAATTAAAAAAAAAAAGTTCCCAGACTCCAGCCTAAGTATCCTTGTTACAAGTCTTCTACCGTGTGAGATACCTAGTGAAGGGGAGCATAAGGCAGTCCAGCTAATATGACTGGAAGGCAGGATAGTCTTTCTGACATAAACCCTCAAAGTTTGGACAGTAACCCTTTGAGCCTCCAGTTCCCTTTATTAATTTATTATGTCTCTTCTATTCCTATATTTAGCTAAACCATTTGAGAAGCTGTTTTCAGGTGGTACCATCTGCTGCGATAAGTTCCAAGGTAAGTGACTACCTGATACAGGTCCACAACTCCTGTTTAGCTCCCAACAATGGAATGGGGCAGGGGAGGATACACACATTTTGGACCAAATCTAAGGAAATTCTTGTTTATTGCAGAGTCCTCCTAAGTTCTCTTTTCTTAATGTGATGAAAAGATTTGTGGCATTTTGTACCTGGAAGGAATGTTATGTCATCTAGTTCAACCTTCTCCTCCGGTCTTCAAAACTCCCTGACTAAATGACTCCCTCCCTGATGAGATCTGCCTAGTTAATTAATTCCTACAAAGACTCTGTTTAGCAGAAACTTGATAAACTGGCAGGCTACATGTTATAGAGGACTGAGGTTCAACTACTGGTTCTGCCATTTACTGGATGTCTGGCCTCGGGCTTTCTCTGGGCCTGAAATTCCACATCTGTAATATAAAGGTGTGGGTTTAGATGTTCACTAAATTCTCTTCCAGCTCAAAATCGATGACCTAAAGATGATAATGACCCTTTCAGGGACATCTTTCAGTGGCTGTCTTTTGATCTTTTTTTTTCCTTTCCTCAGTTTAAGATCATTGGCCTTTAGTCCTAACTTAAGATATACAATCTCTTGACATCCATTCTAACTCTATGATTCTGTGGGAGGGTCTGTGACTACACAAAAGAGGTAAATAAACTGAGAACTCCTGGCTTGCACTCCATAATAACTATGGCTGGTACTTTGGCCTGAATTCTCAGAAGTTGGCCACATAGGGTTATAATTAGGCATTCTGGTACCCAGAGAAAATTCAGTTGAGGCAGAGTGGGATGCAGGGGAGAGCCCACCCAATTTGACATAGTGACATCAGGCAAGGGAGTGGCTCATGTCCTGGAGACTTCAGATGGGTTAAAACAATGTAAGACCCTGAGCATATAAGGAGTGGTTACAAAGTGTAGGGAAAGGGTAGCAGAGGGTCTTAATATATGAAGCCTGACAACCACTATAAGGAAGAAGTTCCTTCCCACTTTGGCCCCCAAGTACAAAAACCTAGTTGCCTTGCTCTATTCCTGACTCTGGGTGTACCTAGCGTGTAATGACCACTACATTCCTTAACCTTGGACATGCCTTTTTTTCCCCTCACTCTCTAATCTTCAATATTAGTCTACATCTATTTGGGTCCTCGGCAATTTACAAAAACACTCCAGATCTTCCCCATCACTCACAAGAGCCTCTAAGACCTATTTACTATAACCGTGTCTCTCCTCTCCTTCTAGCTAAACTCCATGAAAAATCTATGAGTATTTGGTGCCTCTACAATCCTGTCACTCTTTTCTCAATCCTCTGGATTGTGTTCTCATTCAAATGAGCCTGCACTTTCCAGATTACCAGTGATCTCTTCCTTGTCAAATCTAATCCTTTTCTCAACCTTCTTGACCTGTCTGAAGCATTTGTCACTGTTGGTCACCTTCTCTTCCTGAATAATCTCTCCTGTTTCTTTGTCTGTGACACTGTTCTTTCTTGGTTCTCTTGTCCGAGCAATCTTCAGTCTTCTTTGCTGAATCTTCATCCGTGGTATGCCCACTAATTGTTCTTTTTCTTTCTCTTGGTTTCTCTGTGCTTCTGCGTGTGTTGCGTGTCTCTCTGTTTCTCTGTGTGTTCCTCTGTTTTTGGCTTTCTCTCTCTTTCTCTCTCCCCTGAGCCTGGAGTCAAGAAGACCTGAGTTCAAATCTAGCCTCAGATACTTACTAGCTGTGTGACCCTACAGGTCACTTAACCCTGTTTGCCTCAGTTTCCTCATGTGTAAAATGAGCTGGAGAAGGAAATGGCAAACCACTCCTGGATCCTTGGCAAGAAAATGTCAAATGGGGTCACAAATAATCAGGCATGACTGAAATGACTCAGTTTTTGAGCATGTGGCCACTAAACCTGAGTGGCTATTTGCTGGGAAATGGGCAATGTGCTGTTGTCCATGTTGTCTAATGTGGGAATGAAAAAGAAGAGAAAGTACTTGGTTCAAGTTGAAGTTATATTTAGTAGGGAAAAAAAAAAGACAGTTTCCTTGGACACACCCCAGCAGTCTGTCTCTAAAAACCTAGTGAGGAACAAGAAAATGAAATTGAGATGCCCTGGTTTTCACTAGAATTATCCTCCCTGTCTCCCTCCCTCCCTCCCCCTTGGAAACCTTGCTGCCACTTGCTACAAGAAACAATACTTCCTTTTGTCTCCCAATTTCTCTATCTAACTGCCAGCAAGGGACAGCTGTGTTGTGTCCAGGGGAACAACCGCACTGGATGGGTCCTTAGTTTACAGCTTCTTTTTTTCCCCTTCTTTCATCTGAAATATCATGCTATTTTGGACAAGAGGGCACTGGGCTTGTTCAAAATAATATCTCATCCTGCAGAGGACTCACTAGGTGAAATTTAACCTTTATTCTTCAGGCAAGAGCTGATGTTTCCATGATAAGACCAACAAATTGGGAAGTCAGGAGGAAGTCCAGCCCAATCAATCCCACCCATTGAAGTCAATGCTAAATTATTCATTGAAGGATTAATCAGGGCCTTTGCTTTCTCCCTCTCCACATTATTGCCTAGTGATTGTTTCCCTGCTCTTCAGCATCTTTGCCAGGGAAAATTCTTCAAGGGAAAAGAATGGAATAAAAATGAAAACCAGTTACTTTGCTCTTTGTTTGTAGCTCCCCCTCTTGAAATTACTTTGCATGTAATTGATATTTACTTATTTCTGTACATGTTATAGTCTCCCTAATAGAATATAAGCTCCTTGAGGACAGGAATCATTTTGACTTTTTTGTCTTTGTTTCCCAAGTGCCTTCCACATAGTAAGTGCTTAATAAATGTCTGTTGGATCTACCTGATTTGAATTGCAAAGAGCCTCAGTGGGGGAGAGAGTTAGAAGGACTGATTAGAGGCAGTGTGTTTGTAAAGTAATAACTTATAGCTAGATTTTGATTATGTATACTCTCTTAACCTCCTACCATTGTCATGAATAATTAAGAATCTCGTGCACAAGAAAAACCTTCTTCAAAATCAACCTGCTTATATTAGTCAAGTGATTGAACGAATATTACAGAATGCAGTAAACACAGCAATTCATGGCAGCCCTGCTGTGTCTGTAGCAAAAGAATTTTAGTTCACTGTTACTAAATGACAGGAATCCTGTCCCTGTCATCCATGAAGAAAGACTTTAGCTAAGAGCCCCAGGATTTTGTCTACCTGATTCTTTTAGAATGGGTCAAAGTTTAGGAGGTTGCCCCCCCCAAAAACCTTAAGAATTATAAGCTATGTGGTAGATTATAACTAACATTAGTTTAACCCATTTAAGTATGGGGGTGGGCGGCGAGACAGGGTTAAGTGACTTGCCCAGGGTCACACAGCTAGTAAATGTCAGGTGTCTGAAGCAGGATTTGAAGTCAGGTCCTCCTGACTCCAAGGCCAGAGTTCTATCCACTGCACAACCTAGCTGCCCCAACCCATTTAAGTATTAACCCCTAATTCTCAGTCTCTTTGATTGAAGGAAAGCCGTGGGAAAAGTCATGGGGGCAATTCCTTGAAGTCCTAATTGTGATATTTAAAAACTTTGAGACCTAGTTTCTGGGTAATTTGTCATTTTATTAATAATGCTAGCACTTTTAATAAAAGGTCAGTGGTACTCTTGAAAGCCAAAGACAATCATGGTGGCAGGCCTACAGTTTATATGCCCTTGGAAGAGGGATGTTCCAGAGGGTAGCAATCAACCCTGATTGGTTAACAATTAACGAGAGAATGAATATTACAATGAGGGGCTGGACCTATTGTAATGAACTTTGATTATATCATTAACTTCTAAGTTATCCTCAGCTTTGGGCAATCTATTCAAAGAATTGATAACCCCTACCCAAGCCTGAGCTAGTTGGGTGGGGTAGCAGTACCCAGAATGAGGAGAGTGTTAATCCTATCTTCCATCAACCCAGTCCTTAAGAGATTAGAGGAGGAAATAGGACAGGGAAAAAAAAGCTAAGGTCCTCTCAATTTAAATAATTTGGCAATTAATATGAGAAATAATCATTTCTCTCAAAACTAATGTGGTTCATTAGCTGTGTGACTCTGGGCAAGTCACTTAACCCCAATTGCCTCAGCAAAAGAAAAAAAAGGTTGGATCAAAGCTAATGTGGTTTAGGAGACTGGTCACCTCCTTGTATGAGGCAGGGTCTGTTATTGTGAACAGAGTTCTTGCTGTCATTCCCACCATCACCCACATTCACAAGGGATAAGAAGCTGCTCACTCACTATCCCCTCATGCAGTAAAGGTAAGCAAAGCAAAATGATCAGAAAAAAGAGAGAGCCCTTAAATGGAGGTACAAATTAGGGCTGAGGGGAAGGAATATCAGTTATGAGATCAACATAAAAATCAACATGGAGACAAATTCTCCAAAAAAAGAAGATGAACACAAATTATCAAATGCTACCTTCCATCAAAGAAGAAAAATTTTCCCCGTCCATTCTTTTCTCCATGGACAAAGTGCCCCTCGAATCTGTCTGTGGAGGAGTAGGTGACTGTGCAGAGGCCATGTGGTAACCCATCATCATCCAGATGTCCTTGGAAAAACGGAAAAGCAAAGGAATCCATAAAACCGGGGTTGCTCCAACCATTAACCAATGAGTAATGTGACTAAAACTTAACAAGATGTCCTGTGGTGAGGCATATGACTATTCATCCCAAGTGGTAGTTTTTAAAAATAATTTTATTTTTGCCTTTTTTTAAACATCATAATTATTATGGGATATAACCCCTCTCTTTGGCCCCCTCCCTCCATCCCCTTCCATGAACCCTTCCTTGTAACAAAGGAAAACAGTACAAATTAGCCAAATTTGTTTGTTGGTGTCTGCAACTTTCTGTACTACCAAAAGGAGGGCTTCTCAGAAGGTACTTCACTCACCTGGGTCCCCTGAGCAACAATGACAAGGAGGCACATTCTCCAAAAAGTTTTTTTTTTTAAAAGTTACAAGTGCTCAGTAGACATACACATTAGGGAAACAACTTGCTTTAAAGTGGTACAAAGATTAGGAGGGTTGTTTTTTTTTTAATTTCTGTTTATGTGAATAAAGAATAGAAAAGAAGTTCCTCTTTAGTTGGAGATCCCAGAGTTCTACAATTCATCAATTAACTAACAAGTGCCCAACCTTTCATCTTTATGTTAAGGGCAGTAGGCACAACAGTTATTTAGTATGTGGCCCAACATATTATCATTCAATTCTTTCAATTCATCCATTTATTATCATAATAATAGCTTATATTTACATAGTCCTTTAAGGTTTACAAAGCTCATTACATACTTGCTCTCATTTGATACAACCCCAAGAAGAAGTTGCTGGTATTATAATCCCCCAAACTCATGTTATTATAACATAAAGAACTAAATATTGAAATGGTTCTGATATCTCAGCAGTGTGGATGTTCCCCTCCACTATGCAGATTTTAAAGAAAGTTTTATTAATGTGCTTTGTTTTTACATTACAAATATTTGAAGATTGGGGCAACCAGGTGATGCAGAGGATAGAGTACTGGGCCTGGAGTCAAAAAAACTCATCTTCCTTAGTTCAAATGCGGCCTTAGATGCTTTTTAGCTGTGTGATCCTGTGCAAGTCACTTCACCCTGTTCGCCTCAGTTTCCTCATCAGTAAAATGAGCTGGAGAAGGAAATGGCTTCACTCCACTATCTTTCCCAAGAAAACCCCAAATTAGGTCATGAAGAGTTGGACATTACTGAAATGACTCAACAACAATTTATAGATTGCTCCCACTTTGTAAGAGGTCTCTTGAAACAAAGCAAAACAGTTAAGTAAAACATAAAATACAGTTACCTACTCTTCAAGTACAGGACATACTTCTCATCTGTAGTGCACCCTGCCCCCTCAATTTAAAAAACGGAAATCTATTTTTGTCTCCTGCCCATGTTTACCTCATTGGGGAAAAAAAAAGAAAAGAAAAAGAAAAAGTAATTTCTTATGACAAAAATACATTGTCAAGCAAAACAAATTCCCTCAATGGCTATGTAAAAAAAATGTCTCATGCTGAACCCTAAATTCATCATCATTCTGAAATGGGTAGCCTTTTTTATAGTCAATTCTTTGGTATAGTGAATGTTCATTATATGGATCAGTGTTGTCACAGCTTTCAAAGTTGTTTCTTTTTACAGGATTGTTGTTATTGTATAAATGGTTCTGCTCATTTCATTCATTACCAGTTTATAAAAGCCCTCACAATTGTTCATTTGGATGATATTGATGTTTCAGGATAAATTGTTCTTCTGGGTCTGCTTACTCACTCTGCATCAGTTCATGTAAGTCCACGTCTTTTTTAAATCATCTATCTTCTCATTTCATACAGCATAACATACTCTTGTCACCTTCATATACCACAACATATTCAGTTATTTCTCAATTGGTAGATTGCCTGTTAGGTTCCAGGGCTGGTTTGGTTTGTTTTTTTTTTTTGGTCACCACACACACATAAAAAGCATCTATAAGTATTCCTATATATAACCCATTCATGGCTGACTTTCCTGTGGTACTCTTGCCAGTGCCCTCTCAAGTTCAGCACAGGCTACCATGATATGCTCTTTGTCTTAACATTATAAAGGTTCCAGTGGAAGATTTCATATAAACAAACTGAAGGCAAGACACTTTGAACTGTACCTATCTTACTTAACCAACCCTGTAGCTCTGGCTAATACTGCAATGTCCGTAATATCACTGGGTGTCCCCTATGGTAGATATTCAGGATATGAACAGGAGTTGCATATGTCATTTCTAGCTTAATAAACTCTAATAGTGCCATATTACATCTAGAATCAAAGACAAATGCCTCTCTGGCATTTAAGGCCCTTCACAAACTGGCTCCATGCTGATTATATTCTACTCAGTCCAGCCAAATGGGCACCTGTCTCCATCCCTTTGTCCAGGCTGACCCCATGCCTGGAATGCAATCCCTTCTCATTTCTGTCTCTTAGAATCCCTTGTTTCCTTCAAACTTCAGCTTGAGTACCACCTGGTATAAAAACTTTCCTCATTCTTGCAGTAACTATCACCTCCCCCCCCCAATTTACTTCATATTTTTCTTTTCTTGCCTTGCCTTGTGATTTCATTGTTATACAGAATACAAGATAAGGAAGCTTTACCGGCGCAGGTTCGCATCTTCTCTGACACTCACAATGTTACGGTTTCCTGAAGTATTTGCTCAGGATCACATTGCCAGGGTACATCAGAGTCAAGATTCAAATTCTGACAGAGGCCATAGCCCCATTAACAATGCTATGCTGTCTCTCGCATATTTGTACATACTTTGTAGATACTTTAATTGTCAGGTGGTTTTCTCTTAAAGAAAGTTCCTTGAGAACCCGTACTGTTTCATTTTTACCCCCAGTGCCTGGAACATAGTAGGTTCTTAGTAAATGCTTGTTGTATATAAAATGGCAGGATGGGGAGAAAAGGATAGGTTGTCATCTCCATCTTTGGAAATCATACATAGCATTTCAGTGGCACAATGGATAGAATGCTGGGCCTGGAGTTGGGAAGACTTGAGTTCAAATTCAGTCTCAGACTTTTATTAGGTATGTGACCCTGGATAAGTCATTTAATCTTTATTTGCCTCAACTATAAAACAGATACAATAATACCACCTACCTTGCAGGGCTGTTTAAGGATTAAGTGAGATCATATTTGTAAAAACATTAGCACAGTGCTTGACACAGTGTCACATAAATGCTTATTCTCTTCCCCCCCCCCCCCACCTCCACTGGAGTCTGCTGCTATTGCAGAAGATCATCAGTGCCACTAGGTTAATATGCTTTTATTTTGAATAACTGCAGCCTGAACAAGCTATATTAATGATAATGTTCTGGTCTGAAACAATATCTGTCATTGCTAGAGTGAGGTTTTAGACTACTGGAGATCCCTATAAAAATCCTCCAGGAAGTCTATCATTATTTTACAGTATTAATATCTTGTAGTATTAATTTGTTGTTAAAAAAAAAAGAAAAGAAATACTAACAGAGCACTGACCCTGAAGTCAGGAGGACCTGAGTTCAAATCCAGCCTCAGACCAAACATTTGACACTTAGTAGCTGTGTGACTCTGGGCAAGTCACTTAATCCCAATTGCCTTTAAAAAAAAAGTATTAATTTGTTGTTGTTCAGTCATATCCAGCTCTTTGTGATCCCATTTGGAGTTTTCTTGGGAAAGATACTGGAGTGGTTTGCCATTTCCACCTCGAGCTCATTTTACAGATGGGGAAACTGAGGCAAACAGAGTTAAGTGATTTGCCCAGGGTCACACAGCTAGTAAGTACCTGAGGTCACATTTGAACTCAGGTCTTCCTGACTCCAGGCCACTATCTATCCACTGGCTGCCCTGTGGTATTAATAGTAATATATTATTGTTTGTGCTGTCAAAGTCTGTTATTAGTTGTTTTTTAATTTTAAAAATATTATTATTATTATTCTTTTTTACTGATTAAAATTAGACTTACTATTTCATTGGCATAGGGGCCTCCCATTAAGGAACTTTCTCTACCCCAATGCAGATCAGCCTCTTCTCTAAAACTTAGTCTCACAGAATTTCCAGTGGGCCCCGAACTAGGTAGTGAAGTCAATGAACAGGACTTGGAGTCAAGAAGACCTCAGCTTGAATGTTACCTCAGCTATCTATCAACTATATGACCCTGGTCAAGACCCTCAAATCTCTCCATGCTTCCGTTTTCTTATTTGCAAAATAGAGATAAAAATAGAATTTACCTCAGAGTTAATGTGAAGTTTAAATGATTTCACATATAAAGTGCTTTATAAACTTTAAAGCACTATACATGTTAGCTATTATTATTATAATTGTTTCGAAGTGAAGTGATTTCTCAAGGGTCACAAACTCATTGTGTTTCAGAGGTGGAACATGAATCCACATCTCCTCTCTAGTACATCACACTGCTTCCCTCAGTTTTTACTGCTAATGAACAAAAATCCTTAGTGTTTTCTCAATAGCATCAGTGGAAAGAATGGATAAGTTGTTTTTTTTTTTAAATTTATTTTTGGATGAAACAGGTAGAAATGCGTGAGATAGGTAGACCAACTTGTCTTCTGCCCTGCTGAAATCATTCTTGGACTGAAGCACCTGTGTACTATTGAACATGCTCTCTAATGGAATAGCTAAAATGCTGCCTTCAGATATCACGTACCACCCCAAAGAAGAGATTGAAAAGAGGATACTAACAAGAATGATGTTTTCACTTTCTAAATCTTATTCAAAATACAAAATGCATTTTTTTTCAAAAGAGATAACATTGTTCTTTAGGAGTCAGGAAGTAAGAATTTTATGATAATTTTTCAAAAAGGGTAACAAAAACTGTTACTTTTATGACTTAAATATATATACAAATAAGCAAACAAGCTCCTAGTGCTGCATTTAAAAGTTTGGTCATGCAGAAGAGGTGTTGGTGAACATTGTTACTTTAGTGGCTTATGAAAGACCTGGTTCTACTCTTACACATGAGTCTTTCCTTCTGGGGCCAAACAGACACAGAAGCCAGGAGAGAATTGGGCTGTGGT